CCTTCCTTCCTTCCTTCCACGAGAGAGCCTCCCCCCACCCTTTGCCTGCTCTGACCTCAAGAGCCTCACTCTGCAAGGTCACACAAAACACAGGTGCGTCCAATGCCAGGGACCGCCGAGCTGCCTTCCCCGTCAAGAAGGGACCTCGTTCAACCTACCTACGTACATCACCCCTTCTTTGGTCTTCTCGGCTGCTTCGGTGACCCCCTGCTTGGTCTTCTCGGCTGCGGCCACCACGCCCTCCTTCGCAATGGAGAAGCCCTTTTTAAAGACATCCATGGCGCCCGAATGGCTGGTGGGTCTCCTTGGCAATAGCGTTGCAGAGGATGGGGATTTTTTTTGCCTGCTCTGTGCAGCCTCCCCTCCTGGAGACACTCCTGGTCTTCCTTCTCTGTCAGATGCCAGCAGCAGGGCTGGGCGACTCGCTCCGTCCTTCCCGGCTCTTATTGAGGCAACACATCAGAGGGCAGCCAATGCCTGCAAGGGACGGATGCTGAAATATTAATGGCCTGGATTTGCCTGTGAGGTTTTAGAGAGAGAAGCAGCAGAGAAAGGGGGGAGGAGGAGGAGGAGGAGGGTACCAAGGTAAGTGAGAGACTCGGTTTGGAAAAGCTCCAGAAGATGTTTAGATGTCCTTCGAAGAGCTGCTGCAATGCTTGCTCAAGGTCGCATATTCTACAAAACCTTTGCAGCATTAGAGGAAGCGTTTAGCTGCCCAAAGCTTTTCATTTCTCCACAAATATCTCCCAGGAAGGCAAATAGGAGATCAAAGGGGGATGAGGGAAGAGAGAGAGAGAGAGAGAGAGAGAGAGAGAGAGAGAGAGAGAGAGAGAGAGAGAGAGAGAGAGAGAGAGAGAGAGAGAGAGAGAGAGAGAGAGAGAGAGAGAGAGAGAGAGAGAGAGAGAGAGAGAGAGAAGGCTGGAAACCACTCAACACCACCTTTCAATCAGGGTTTAATCTAGCCAGCCTTTTGCTGCAAGGTAGCTCTTTGCAAACTTCAAACAAATAAGAGTGATCCGAAATAACTTTGGGTACGTGCTTGTGTGTGTATGTGCACGTACGCACGTATGCACGTATGTATGCATAGAGAATAAATTACTATGTAAAGGAAAGGAATAGGAAATTGAGGGTGTTTTTTTTTGTTTTGCTTAAAGGAAAAAAAATCTATATTACAAATATGCCTTTCTTTTCCTTTGCACGGTTACTTATCATTTTGTGTGAAAAATATCAGCTCTCCCAAGAAAATCTGGGGAGGGTGGCTTAACTCAAACAAACCTCTTACCTTATTAGTGAAGCAGACCCATATCTAGGACAAGTAGCCATCCAGCATGACTGCAGGCCATTTGGAAACATCGTGCTGGTCTAGAATTTTGCACAAAAGATTATTGAGGCCGAGAGAGGCAGGCAGGCAGGCAGGCAGGCAGGCAGGCAGGCAGACAGACAGACACACACACACACACACACACACACACACACACACAGAGAGAGAGAGAGAGAGAGAGAGAGAGAGAGAGAGAGAGAGAGAGAGAGAGAGAGAGAGAGAGAGAGAGAGAGAGAGAGGTTTTCTATAAATTCATTTGATAAAGGATGGCTTACTGTTTAGTTCCATTTTAGATGGAAGATCAAATAATTCAGTAAAAATGACAAGGAGAGACAGGTGTTCTACAAAAAACAAACAAAAAAACTCAGGTGTGATCAGAGAAAGAATACAATCCTTATGCAAGCAAGTGCCTTCCAGTAAATTTTATGTGATTAATTGATTGATTTTGTGCCATCAAGTCAGGGTTGACTCTTACTGATCAGATAGATTTTTCTCCAGGAAAATATTGTTGTTAGTTGCGAAGTCGTGTCCGACCCATCGCGACCCCACGGACAACGTTCCTCCAGGCCTTCCTGTCCTCTACCATCTTCTGGAGTCCATTGAAGCTCATGCCTACTGCTTCAGTGACTCCATCCAGACACCTCATTCTCTGTTGTCCCCTTCTTCTTCTCTTGCCCTCCATCTTTCCCAGCATTAGGCCCTTCTCCAGTGAGTCCTTCCTTCTCATTAGGTGGCCAAAGTACTTGAGTTTCAACTTCAGGATCTGGCCTTCTAAAGAGCAGTCAGGGTTGATCTCCTCTAGGACTGACCGGATTGATCGCCTTGCAGTCCAGGGGACTCGCAGGAGTCTTCTCCAGCACCATAGTTCAAAGGCCTCCATTCTTTGGCACTCAGCCTTTCTTATGGTCCAACTTTCACAGCCATACATTGCAACTGGGAAAACCATGGCCTTGACTATACACACTTTTGTTGGCAGGGTGATGTCTCTGCTTTTTAGCATGTTGGCAAGATAGGCAAGGCAAATACTATGCTAAAACCTGCGTGCTATTGTATGAAGAGGCTTTTGCATGATTGAGATGCCCCCTGGAACTGGACGTGCCCCGTTATAGCAAAGAGAAACAATGGAGAAAAACAATTGTACCAGAGACAAACTGTTTCGACGCTAGATAAATACAGCCAAACCATTTTTTAAAAAAATGCAGATTGGGAAAAAGAACTGCCTCCCCACCCCCCCACCCCCAAAAAGCTTACAAGGGGTAAAAAAAATCAGATCAACTATTTCCCTCCTTTAAATGATAGCATCTCCTGAAGTCCCTGGAGAAAGAGGAGGGACTTAGAGGCGCCCACTTGAGTTCCCACGGAGTGTTCGTCTTCATATTTGCCCTTGAAAAGGCAGATTGTTGGCAGCGTTGCAGAGAAAGAGGAAGGGAAGGAACACAAGAAAAAGGCAACCCTCTCATCATAACTGAGACCTGGTCAATAGCAATAAATCAATTGCTGCAATGCAGCATAAATCAATATTTTATTTAGTCATTGCAGGGATGATCAGTGTGGATTCCCTGCCTATACTATACCTGGGCATTTGGTTTTTCTTGCCTAAATGTAGAACCTCCATGCTTTTTTCACCACTGAATTTCATTTTGTTACATAGCGCCCAGTGTTCACGTCCAGGGCTTTTCAGCCTTTTCACCCATTGTACCACTTTTAGGATATGGCAACATCCGAGTACCACCAGTCGCCTAGCAAGGTGTCAAAAATGTGATGACCAAAAAAAAAAAGAAAGAAAAAAGTGATAAAGTACAGGTAGTCCTTGACTTACAACAGTTCGCTTAGTGACTGTTCGAAGTTACAATGGCACTGAAAAAAGTGCCCCCAAAGCCACAGCCGAGCAAGACACCTGCCTGCCCACCTGGCGGCGCTCTTCCTCCTGTCCGAGGTTTTCATTGTTGTGAGCATTTCTGTTGAGGATTGGCAGCGGGGGTGGGGGGGGGGGGGGGTGTTTGGTTTTTATTCCCCCTGTCTGCTGGGTGGTTGCAGCAGGTTTTGGTCACTTCACATGACCCTGGGACACTGTGACCGTCATAAATATGAATCAGTTGCCAAGCATCTGAATGTAAATCACAAGACCCTGGAGAGGCTGCAACATTCCAGCTGATCGGTGCTTCTTCTGGGCTCAGCAGAAGCACCAGGATCAGCGCCGAGCTCCAGCTGGAGCCTGGCGCTGATCCTGGTACTTCCGCTGAGCCCTGACAGCCCTGCAGGTCCAGCTGTCTCTCGCTCAGGCTTGTGTGGTGCTGCCACCGGTTCAGCTCATTCCCCTCCCCCGCTTTTTGTAGGATGGTTGCGTACCACCTGCCAGGTGCCAATGTACCACAGGTGGTACCCGTACCACTGGTTGAAAAGCCCTGTTCAAGTCTGTCCAGATCCTCCTGTATCCTAAGCCTGTCTTCTGGAGGGTTGGCTATTCCTGCCAGCTTGCTGTCGTCTGCAAATTTGATGAGTTCCCCATCTATCCCCTCGTCCAAATCATTGATGAAGATGTTGAAGAGCACTGGGTCCAGAACAGAGCTCTGGGGCACCCCACTACACACTTCCCTCCATGTAGATGCGGTTCCATTGAGGACCATTGAGTACGGCCGGTCCAAAGCTAAACTTGATTTCTGAGGACCACATGAAAGTGTTCTCCATTGCTGCCTTCCAGTCTAGCCTTGAGTCCCCACATTAACAAGTATGAAGTGGCTCTATCTCATTAAAAAAAAATATCTGGGTAAGATTCAGATTATTAGGGAACCCTGTTCTAACATCATCCTGCTTCCAGAATGGAGGACCTCAAGCAGGAAGTGAAGACCTCTTTGAAGTTCAGATCTCAGAAGCTTCTGGAGATGGTTGATCTATTTTGGGGTAAGTCTATGCGTGCATATAAGAAGAGGATGTTTACTTCCTAAAGCAACTTACGCTGGATTTTCTATAAAACCTAATTATAGAAATTATATTTTGCTTTCCTTCCATGACTAGAGGAAAAAAGCTAAGAGTTTGTTGAGTTAAGAAAACATATTTGAGGATGTGTAAGG